TAAGTAAGCGTGTAAAAACTGAAGATAGAGACAAAATACTGTTAATCTGACTATCTGCCATTCTGCAATTCATCTCATGTAAACGTGGCGCACAGCGTGACGTGAACAAAGCACATACCTTTGTTGCCTGACGAACTCTGTATTCCTCGTCCACACATAAACGCAAAAAAGGAGTTTTATAAAATCGCAGTTTTCGGTGATTCCAAACGCCGTTTACGTGTGGACGGAACAGCTGCGTTTTCCAAAAATACCCGTATAGGTGTGGATGTAGCGTAAAAAAGTTAGCAGTTAATTTTCTTACTACCTGTAATTGATTGCAAATTACTTGTATTTGCTTAATTGCTTACTAAATGGTTGAGGTGTGAAATAAACACTGTACTAAGTATGTTTGGCTTCTGTATTACTACCCTCTAGCTCTCTGTATTTAGAATGTAATTTTTTTTAGTGTCCATAGATATTTACAAATTCACAAAATCTGTCCCAAATATCACAACCTGTTCCAGTATAGATGACTCAGTTTGTTCTTTATTGTATTTTTATTTAGTTAAGCTAACAGTGTCAATTTAATTGTGTCTTTTCTTAGTGTCTGCTTCTCACTTTTCCTTTAAATACAAGTTATGGTTTAAAATTGGTATTCCGGTGTTTATACACCACTTTGTATTTAATGGCCATTTTCATAAATCTCTTGCTCTTAGCATCTATTTGGACCTGTCTTCCTCCTCTCACCCCCAACACTCACAGCAGATTGCTGCTCCTCCCTTTACTTATTTTCTAATTCAGTCTTTTAATCAAAATGTTTCTGCAGGTTTAACAGTATTGCTTATAGCATATAGTTAGTCACTGATTCTTATGAAGACCTGTATGCAAATTGCTCTCTCATAAAAAATAAATGTACATATGTTCATTCCTGTATTGATTGTTTTTCTTAAAGTTCATGATGATATGCACATTTTGGAAAATAAATTCAGAATATTCTAAACTTAGCTTTAAAATATAAATATTCTAACTCTCAAAAGCACATGACAAACCAACTGACACACCTGAGTCACTCACTTTCTTTATTCTACTCACGAGCGACTCAATCACACTGGCTGTTTTTTACTAATCACTGTGCAACTGATGTAAATTCACAGTAATTGCCATCTCCTTACAAATGTTTATTAAATTCACCACACAACTCGACTGACGGACTGTGTTCAGGTAACCTGTCAGCAACATGTCACAGATGACATATTTAGTGTTTATTTGCTGGTTTGTCGGTAGCAGCTCCTGAAAAGCAAGTCACATATCTGTTCGACCAACGCCAGTTGATCTGCGACGCCAGTTAATCTGGAACACCGGGCCGGACTAAAGCTGCTGCTCTTGGTGGACGTGCATGGTGGAGACGAGGAAGCCCTGAATAAGCAGGTGTAGCACGCCAAATAGCCAAGGGAGTCCGGAGATCATCCTCTGTAACCGGAGGGCTAACTCCTCCTGGTATTCCTTACTAGATACACAGAGGGAGACACAGGAGCAAAGACACGGGGAAATCTAACAACCAAAAGCTAAACATAAGAACCAAGGGACTATTGACTAACCTTTAAACAAACAAGGTGGACTCAAACCATAATTCAAAATGGAAAAAAACCACAAGAAACTGAAACTGCTGGGCCATAAGACCCATCATCGTAACACAGACTGCACCTCATCCAAGCATACTAGGACTAACACTGCTAACAAATGCCTGATGTTTAAGGGGGAAAATACCTAATAACTTATCATGTCTGTTTGTCTCCCAATTCCCATTAGTCTTTGAGCCAGGAATCATATTTCCATACATCACAAATGAACAGTGGAGGGTAACATAATAAACAAACAGGAGGATTTTTCTTACAAAAACACACTTGTTTGAAATTGAATGATATGACACTGTGATGAGGTCTCGTGCTGAAGATAATACATTTCTTACCAGTGTGACATTCTCAGACCCAAAGTCAGAGCTGAAAACAGGCATCAAAGCTAATAATGGCCAACAATGGAGCAGTGTTATTATTATTTACCACTAGAGGGTGCCATTATATTTGGAAAAGAAATTGTGGTAGTTGTGATATGCCTTCAATGTTCAGCTTTGCAAAATGAAATGATAAAGCTGAAAATCAGCTTATTATTAATTTGATGATTGTAGTGTATTATTGAGCATAATGGTGGGCTGTAGCTCAGGAGGTAGAGCAGGTCATCTACTGATTGGAAGGTTGGGGGTTCGAGTTTTGGCTCCCCCAGTCTGCACGCTTACCCCAAGTTGCAATGCATCTATTGGAGTATGACTGTGTGTGAATGTTAGTTAGAAAGAACTTAAATAGCAGATACTGTTAAATGACTAGCTGATACAACAATTAATTTTGTTTCTTATCTAACTTGAATCTAACTTCCTTGCTAATAACCATTTAAAAGTCACCTTTAGTTTAGTTTAATTTAGCTGCCTTAATGTGTCATTTTCTTAAGTTAATAAGCCACCCTCACAATCAACCATGGGGTTCAATGAAGTTTGACATTACAGGCTTGTAACTATCAATCAAAGTGAAACCCTGCCTGTGACAGACCTAACATGACCTTTCATTTCTGCGTCACTCAATCGTTCACTCCTGACTCAAATGTGGTGAAGCTCAGGAGTAATATAATTGAAAAGGAACAGCAACACCACCTGGTGGTTTACACCCTAGAAAATATTAGCCAATAACAACCCTTAATTATACTGGAAAATGACTGTGAGGCACAAAAACTCATTGCTGACAAAGTCAAGATCTGAAATCAAGTTAATTCCAATATTAGATCAAATAGTGGAATAGATCAAATAACAGGGCTGGAAGAAAAACAGGTTCAGAAGCAAAATTTAATTACAGTAAATGACAATAATTACAGTTAGTTTTACAAAAGCCTTAATAAGAAACCTAAACCAAAAACACTAAAAGCAGCAGCTTCAGCAGCTTAACTTGATATAAAAATCAAACTAAAGGAATTAGCTGGAGGCCACTTGTGAACAGTTTTCACTGAAGAAAGGCCAGAGGTGCTACAAACACGATGCTTCACTGAATGTGGAAAAAAACAGATAAATATAGAAATAAATACTTCTTCTTTAAAAATAACATGGTGCAGGTATTGAACTATATTTCTAGCTCTGTTAAAGTGTAACCAGATATGAGAAATATAATAATATAATAAAATAATACTCCCTAACGTTTTATAGTCTTACTTTGGAAGGGAAAGAAAAATCTCTGGTTAAATATTAGCTACATTATGCTATATTACCTTTGTTTAAACACCCAACTTAAAGCTTTATTAACATTTCTCTCTTTATTTTTGAAGCAACATGTCTCAGTTTATCTAAGTTGGCTTTTGCTGACACTTTGCTCACAGACACATTGGCAACTTCTGCTGGGAAGTAAGCAACATGTCTTCAGATGGGGAAGCGTAAAGTTTCCATCTAATGGTTTACAGAGGTGTTACTGTTGCATATGCTTGCTTCTGTTTTTAGTGAGACTGTTAAAAACATGCAAATATTTAATGAATGCTAGCAGAAGCAAAACAACGCAAAAGTTACATTCACAGCATTATGTTTCTTTAAATGATAAGTTTCCAGTGTTGGGTGACATAATGTCATCTAAAATCACAAACAACAGGACAGAAGAGGATCATTAGATGAAACCTACGATGTTCAGAAGTGTGAATGTACATATTTTATCATCATGTGTACTTCTGCCATGTTGTTAATGCTTAAATGACAAAATGTTAAAAGCACCATTTTCACAAACAAAACGTTTAAAAAATTCCCCAGAGTGATCACACAATCCATGATTACTT